GCCGCAAATATTGGATTAACCGAATGGCGTTCGAAATTTATCGTTGCGTTAATGCAATATTACGGTTTGAAATTTCGGTCGCGCGGCAATTTACACCTAACCGTAACCACGTCCAGGAAGTAAAGAGAACTATTTTCTAATAAGACCATCCGGGGCGAAGCCAATATATATATATATATATATATGTAAAAGCCAATATATATATATATATATATATATAAAGCGTCTTAGACCAATAAGGACAAACTTCGTAAGGGCGCAGAACAGATTGAGATGAGCAGAAAAGTCCTCTGCGCTATTTTGCAAGCAACACGCAAAATTTCGAATGATTAATTAAAGCAACCTCTATATACGGCCGTTTCGAATCATTAATAACTCGAAGTTTTGCGCGCTGTTTGCAAAATGGTAGGTGACTTTCTTGTTCACCTCAATCCGTTCTACGCCCTCACGAGGCTTGTACTTGTTGGTCCGGGACACCCTGTATATATTCACACACATTAATGAATAAAATTCTGGAAATTCTGGAAACGGTCAAACATCGCGGGCGTGAGTGGATCGCATTCTTCCGAGATGCTTTTAGCATTTTTTTCAAGCTTCCGCCTGAAGCACGCGGGATCTTATTATCCAAGTCCGCAATATCTCCGTGAAGATCTCCAGATCGTCATTGTGAGGGAAACTTTGCGCGGCAACATTGTTAATATTATCAAACGGCGCGATGAATCGTTAAAAATACACGCCTATGCGACGCGACGAATTGCGAGCGGTGAGCGGAAAACGGCCGCGGACGATCACGTAAAACAACATGGTAATTCGCGCCGGCGAGTCTTTACCGTCACTCCTGCGAATCGACGAGAGCCGCCCATTATTCAAGTTATTTCATACATAGTTAATAATTAATATCCCCCGCACAGCGCGTTATCCAACTTGGAAACGCGCTCGCTTATTCTCACGTGCAGGCGCGCGCACCCGTGTGTGGTGGTAGTAAATGAAATTGAACAAGCAATAGGTTCATTAAACGCTTCATTAAACTCTATTTGATTGTATTGCTACGTGTTTGCGCCGCATGTTAAATCAACGCGACATTGTGGCGGGCAAATGTCAGTTGCATTAAATTATGACAGGCCCCGCGCTGACATATCCCGTCCGCCCGCCGGCGTGACGGCACCTTTGGTGCTCTCTCTCTCTCTCTCTCTTTTTTTAATGCGTCCGCCCGCGATTATTCGCAAGCACTTTTTCGCGAGCGAGAGTTCCCTCTCTCGAGGGCCGGGGGGGGAGGGGTGCTCTTTCCATTCCAGATACTGCCGTCGTCCGGCCGGTCGACGCGTAAATCCGCGTGTCGCCGCTCTTCCGCGCTGGGAAAAACTTCTCTCGCGTTGATATGCGAGGGAGAGCGGGGAGTTATCGCGGCAAACAAAGAAAGGCAAACTTGATAACAACGTTAGCCACGAACAACCGGAAGAGTTTCGCTACGCTCGGGCTGGACCCGTTCGCTCACATTGTGAAGCTGCTGTCCTGTAAGGAGCCGCGAATGCAGTCGCATAAAACATCGGATTAATTAAACGGCGCTTTAAACTTGTAATCGTCGCATTAATTCTCTCACCGCGGAATCGCGTCGCCGCGAGACTGGGGATTTGCCCGCCGTGGAATTTTATGCGGCGGAAAACGCGCTCGCGCCGCCAGCGTGATCGCAGTATATTTCCTTTCTTTTTTTTCTCCTTCTTTTTTTTTTAATGCTTTTGAAAATAGGTCTTCCAGTCGTGCGCCTCGCTGCGTCTTTCACGAGCTCTCATCGGAGAGCGCGCCTGCGCTCACGCACACGCGTTCGTGTATTTCTTTTTTAGGTAACCGATATCCCGAACAAATTGTCGTCCGGTTTCGGAATTCGCCGTTCGACTTTAGCTTCGGAAATCTCTCACCGTGATCGGCGCATAGCGCATCAGTGCGCATTCGCATCTCATTGAAATTCATGATGTTTCGAAACCGGACTTACGTAACTTTCTGAATAAGTGACTCAATCCACGAAGTTGCACGTAACGGTTTTGCGAATAGTACGGTATAAAACACCGTACGTGCGTAACGCGTCTCGAGAGTGAGCCGAACCCCCCGATATTAGGCGGAATTTCGGCGTGCGCAGCACTTTATTCATCCACTCGTGCTACAACATCGTGAAATAATAATGTTGCAAAAAAGGCATTTAGTCCGGTTGAAAGGATTTTTATCGATCAATATCGTATTACATATCGTGTTGTTTGACGCAGCCTTTGTGGGCGAAGTGTGACCTAACGTGATGTATATATTTAACCGTCGGCGTCGATATATATATATATATATATATATATTGATATTGTTCGTATTTGATAGTGAAATTATTATTACCATTGATCTCATACGGTAACACATTGCTTCTCTCATTTGTAATTCTTTGGTCGCGCGAGATAACCGCGTATCTTTACTTTTACTATTCGCGGTAAGCAGCACGACACGATGATCGTCGTTTAACGGCTACTCAAAGTGAAAAAAATTGAACAATACACGCTATATTAAGTAAATCGGTCAGCACAAACGGACAAGGACAAACAGCGAGGAAGCAGAAGATGTATGCCAGCAAACAGCACAATTCATGTACGCGTTCTCCCGACGATTCTGCGTTGAATCTTTTGCAGAAAATAGTACAGATAAAATGCACTCCGTAGAAGAAAGATAGTATTATTTATAAGCAATCTCTGCATTTGCATACACACACTCTCTCTCTCTCTCTCTCTCTCTTTCTCTCTCTCCTTTTCTCTCTATTGTTCAGGTACATATTTTCTATCCGACACGAAGAGCTATTTGCTCGGCAGTATCATCGATCCCGAAGGAAGCCCTTGTTGTATTATTAGGATTCTTGGGAAGAAGCGTCGAAGATGAAAATACCTCGCTGCGAAGGCCGAATAAAATCTTGTTTATCCCCGCTTTTATCTTGTCACGCCGAAATTAGATGACACTAATGCTTTTACCCCGCACAACTGCGAGGACTGCGCCGCCGCTGCTGCCGTTCGTCCTGCATACCTAATTAAGGTGCAAATAAGCGTAGCGTCGCTTTGTCTCCGAGATCAGCCGAAGGAAGGAGCGCGCAATGGCGAAGCGCCGAAGCGACTCATCGGTGGCGGTTGTTGTCGGCAGAAGAAATTTCAAAATCCCGGATTTACGTTGCGCGACACTCACAACATCCGCCGACACACGGGCTTATGCGATAGCTGGCATGCAGGTTGACACACCTTTCGTGAAATAAACTTTGACTCTAGTTTTTTTTTTTTTCGGTATCTTTCAGAACACATCCTACCTCCAATGGGAAAACTTCTCCTCTGGGAATTTCTCGAAAACGAATTTTTCCATCGGTCTCCCGGAACGAAATTTTTCCGCTACTTTGACACTCTTAAAAATAGTTTATTAGACCACCTAGATGGCTTATAAACTAATAAAAATCCACTTTGATACTGACACTTATTAACTTCTCTCTTGAACCTTTAATTTTAATATTATCTTCAGCAACGTATTTTGACGCTAAAACTGAGATTTAAGATATCATTAGGATCAAAGTAGGAGTAAATTATGTTTTTCATGTTATTAGACTTGAGATTAAACTTATTTTGCTATCTCAACTCCTACTGTGTTGTAGAATCAAAGATTTAACGTAAGGCCAAGATTTCGACTCGGGACGTCGTTTCGAATCGTGTCGAGAAAATATGAGTCTCAATCTTTATGGCTGGAATTGTACGTTCTCCCTAATCGTGCCGAATTGATGATCTCTAGGAAAAATGAAATCCGACTCGCTCGATCAAATTGTCTATTTCGATTATCGTGCAAAAACCGGATCAATGATATTATCGATATGCACGTCAATCTCGTATCGCGGCAACCGTGGAGAATAATGTTTGTCCTAACGGCGTTGTTGCGCTCGCCATTGAACTACTATTGACCCAATTGTGATTCAATGTTGCCACGACTTTACATCGATATCACCGAATGACGGTGGTCGCTGATATCGGTCCAACTATTCTATCGATTATCACTCTACGCTGGCACTCCAAGCGTTGGACGTTTCCGCATAAAGTGAAAGAGTAAAAATCAATTCAATTAAATTCACTCTAGTGTTTGAGTTGAAGCGATCATTCAGCCGCTCGCAAGTCGGAAAATGAAGCATTTTTAGAGTTTATATAGCGTTAATCTCACCGCAATTCTTCAGTGGCGTACACCCCCCTCCCCCCTCTTTCCTATGTAAAATTGAATGTTAACAATAAATGATCATTTTCATTGATTAGAATTACACGTTCGCATCATTAATGTTTTAAAGTAAAATTCGATTATGTATCATACGTTGATATTGATTATACCGACATCGAGACTAATTAATGAGTGTAATCTGAGTGGCGTAATGATGCTGCGAGTTGCGGAGAAATCGCGTTTGTAGTAATTAATACGATAACAAAATGTATCGGTGGTTATATAATCACGTTGTACTTATCTAAAAACCGTTAATCCGTCGATTGACGCGAATACGTTAACGAGAGTGAACGAGGCGACTCTCTTTTACATCGAGGAAATTCTTGCACCGTAGAAGCAATATATGAATACACAGAGTGAGACTATAATCTATTATTGCCTCGAATGTTTTTTCGAAACTACGAGAGTAGGAGGGAATTCTACGTAACAGAAATTAATATCAACATTTTCCACGAAGGCAAACAATTTCCAACTTTTATCCGAGTCGTTAATAAAATATCCGCGTTCTTCGAAAACATTCAAGATGGAAGCAGTTATTGCCCCAGCCTGCGTAAACATATTGTTATAATATACGAATATAATGTGTGTATACATTATAATAACACGCGTATATGTGCGTAAAATAAAATCGAATCAACGAACGGCGAGGAGCCGTCAACAACACGAGAGCGCTCATTTGCATGCTAAATCGTCATACGTCGATCGACGGGTTGAACGGGTCGGTTTGTGCGCCTTACCGTGCCCTCTCCCAGGTTGTGAACGACGCAGGGCATCAAGGCTTTGGAGCCTGATTGCGCCGAAACCGATGTCGAATTTTCCGTGCCGAAGCTCATCGGCAGGGTCGGCGGCAGGTCGACGTCCAGCGGCTTTCCCGTCGTGCCGTCCAACGAGTTCATGTTAACATCGACTATTTCCGCCGTCACTGCAGCGGGATATTCTGAAAGGAATCGCGAATTATCGATTATATTACTGAATGAAACACCGAGTGATTTTTCATTCGCGGGAAAGCGGAGTAGGCGACGTGTCGCAAGCGTCACGCGTACCGGCTCGCTTTCGGGACATACGGGACGAAAAAAAAAAGCGATAATATTATAACAATGACGCGCGGTAGAACAAATATTGAAGCATGCGCCGCTGGCAATCAAGCGAATTGCCGCGGCGGACATGCGCCGAGCGCCGGCGGTTTGAATATTCTCGTTTGAATAAGTGTCGGCTCGGTCGTGAGTAAATCACACGATTGACGGAAGAAGTGCTTACTCGATTGATTACGTCCATTACGTTTATTGATGCAATTATATCGACCGAATTCACAGTTGCACGGACGATAATAATGCACTCGATTGAGATGGTCGGTCCATAGAATGCTTGACTTTCAGTGGCAATATCAAGGCGTGCCTACGTAAATTTATTACTTGCTAAAAAATAGAAACGTATTTTCCTATAATTTTATTGTGTATTCTAAGAATGATTGCAAAACGAATTGTGAGCGCACTTTGATTTTTAAACATGGGAGAGATTTTTAAACAAGGGACTCGCGAGTGAGAATAATAATATCGCAGATAAAGTAACGACTATTGGTGATGGTGAACGATAATATTTCGTGGACAGCTTTGTTTCTGTTGCGAAACGCCATATCGCCCAGCTCGTTAATTTTTTTAATATATTACTTTCAAAACCGTAATGTTTTGTAACCGTGATTACAAATATAACGACGTTGTTGCTTGTGTTTGTGTGTGTGCGCAATAATAAAATAATACCGACTTTTTCCGTAACGCTCAACGCCCGGTTTATCTGCGCGTTAATTTGCTACGAGTATTATTTAATTTATAAAGAACATCGCGCCATACAGGTGGTGGACATTGTATTTTCCAAAATGGCGGCGAAAGTTACAAAGATGCCAGAGGTAGATTTTTGAGGTATTATTAATAATTATTCCAGAACATTGTTTACGCGTTGCCGTGTTAACCCAGTTTGACAGGTTGAAAGAAAAATATTTATAATTAGAAAATATTTATTCGGTAAATATTAATAACATATTTACTTAAATATAAATTGTTTTATTTAAACAGGATAATATAAATTGCTTTCATGTGCTACAGATTTAACAAAATTTGTATTCTCTCATTTAAATGAAATTCTTTCTCCGTGCGAAAATGTGTTTATTAATATAAATAAACAAGTTATCAATATCAACCGAATAAATATTTTTTAGATATTTTAGATAAAATTGACTCAGGTGAGAACTTAAGATTTTATAGTTATTGAATCGTAAATTATCGTACATTTAAACATAGAACTCTTTTCTTTAAACATGCGATACATTTTCTCTTCTACCTTACACATAAATTACCTATTTCCAAACGACGGTTTGAAATTATTTTAAAAACAACTATCTATTTCAGAAATAATAATTATAGATTCATCTTTTGTGCATTCAAGATTGTAATATCTGTACGCTGGATAAACACATTTATAGATATTTAAGTAAGGGCACATCATACAAAAAAGGGTCTCATGGACTCGGTATGCCAAACCAAGCAGCAAAAAATAAGTGTGCCAACGAAGGATTAAGGATGCGAGTTACAAAAACCAGATTATTCCGATACATCAGATATGTATTTCCAGTCGGTGAGTCAATTTTAGTAAAGCGCACTTCGCCTATTTATACGCTAAGTATTATATTTCAATAATAATATCATTGTGAACAGATTGTATATATTGTCACGTCACAATCCGCATTATCGCAATCCGTCCTTCCGTTAAGCCCCGGATCGACATAATTACGTAGTCTTTCACAGATAGTTCGAGACAATCAGCAGCGTCGGCGATATATCGATATGCGTGTTCTACAGCAATCTTTCCGGTAAGCGATCAGCCAACCAACCAACCAGCGGTGACTATGTATCTGCCGCGCGCGTAATTTTCCGTGAAATGTAACGAGTCCAGTCCCTTATCATGGGGATGTTGAAACCAGCCCGAGTTTTCGGCGCCGGAGGTCATCGACTATCCTCGAGGTAACTGCCGTTAGATGCGCCGAGAAATTGGCATTAAATCACGATGGCCTTTACGGGGCCGAACTTTGTAACGATGTAAGCTCACCTGCGCATGAATATGAGACGAACTTCTCTGCTCGCGTTCTATTTTTCACGCGTGGCGTCTGACCGCACGTTAATATTTTAATAAACGATAGACTATTCTTGCGCAGATCGGCGACATTATAATTAAATCCGCTAATCGCATTATTTTTACCGCGGCACGGAATTCGATTTCACGCGCGTTTATTATTTCGTTTCGCGAAAACATAAAACGTACGAGAAATAGAAAAAATGTATAACCGTCCTTTGTCGAGAAAGGTATTATAGCAATCGAATGGTACCAGCTATGATATTTTGAGCTTAAGTTCCATTTTTTTAATTAACAAAAAGTTTCTGACAAAAGACAAACATTGTTAATTATTATAAAATATGTACAAAAAAATGAGTAAGTATTCGTATATCATATGTGTTACAAGCAATAGAGTATATTAACAAACGTTTTAATTGCGGTGCAATGAATTCTATTTCACGCTAATAGCTTAGCTCTGATAAATAAATTATTTTCCATCTTTTTAGTGGAAAATATTAAAACGGAAAACGATATAAATCCACACACGCAATATTTGAATAACTTTTTCGTTATTTACAAGCTGGCACGCAACATCGCGTAATCGTTACCAGACGCATATTTAAAACGTTGCGCGTTATTTTTGTATATTTTTATACAAAAAACAAATTAATATCGAAATGCAAGACTTATATTTTCATATATAAGTGAGGATATAATCGTATTTGAAGATAAAATTTGCTTGCAAAAAGAAATTCTATCTAGTCTCATTCGAAATACTACGTTCTTGTTATTTAAGAATAATTTTTATGAATTAAGAGGAAATGATATTAGATAGAAAGAATGATTTTCGAACTAATAATTGTACTAGTTTGAAGATGTCATTATAATTGTCAATTAATAAAAATTATTCTTGAATAACAAGAATATAATATTTTTAGTGGAAGTATATAGAATTTCTTCATGTAAGTAAACTCTGTCTTCGTATAAGTTTATATATTTTTGCATATATATATATATATATGAGAATATAAGTCTCGAATCGACATTATTTTTCTTCCGCGTACATATATATGTATCGTTCTTTCCCTTCTCATCACTTGAANAATAATACAATCTCGCCAAAAAGGCCCCCCCCCCCCCGCTCAAGTATCGGCATCCATGTCATTTCCGTCGATCGTTCTTCGCGCGCGCCGAAACGCTGAAGTACGGTAAAGAGATGTCCGCAGACCGTCGACACACGGCTAAAAAGTAGCCGCCGATTCCATCGGGCCCCTGCACGATCACTTTTCATCCATGAAAATTTACGGTACGTTGCAAGCCAGCGACAGCCATGCGTGTCGCTCGTGGCTGGCTATATTGAATGCGTCATCTTGTCTGTTTAATTTTATTTCTGCCCGACAGTCGCAGAGAGCGAGGTGGTTATCCGTCCGTGTCACGTGGATTCCCGCAAGACCGTCATTTATTTCGCCCGGTCGGAAGGAAGGAAGAAACCGAGGAAAAAATCTATATCCCACGCGTACAAATGTTTGTGCAGGGACGATCGTGGCGTACGCGCGCGAGGGTGGTTAAAGTCCAGCGGAAAGCCTCTTAACGAGAATCCCCCCGGTACGACGGGAGGCTTTGAGCGGGCGACCGTTAAACCTCGTTCGACCTCGTAACGACTGCTTTGATTTGACGCCTATTTTTCAAAGCCGGTATTTACCGCAGACGAGGCGGACGGCGAGAGGTGAATTCGTTAGGAGATGCCGGTGGGAAGTTGTCTGGTCGACGACCTTTGCCGACAGGCCGTTCGTCGTTAACGACGACCTCACGACCGTCGCGTTCGCCATTATTCCGGACGGATGAAAGTTGAAGAAAATGATATATGTGTAAAACGCGTGAAAGCCGCGACTGGATTTCCGCAGAAACGCCGCGAAAATTTGTAAAAGGAACGCCCGCGCTCGCCACGTGTAAGAAGTTCAAATGTAGCGGTGAAATTGACGGAATTGGAGTCAAGCCAGCTCGCTTAACGCGAGACATGCAAGAAACGCGGGAAAGAAATCGGCGTAAATGTCGAGCGACAGAGAGAGAGAGAGAGAGTGCGAGATAAATCGAAAACGATGTTAAAGATGTATTGCCCATTAGTGCTGTGTTTTCAATAGCGCACATCAAGAGGGCCACTCATACATTTAGTATTTATCCGGCAAAATTTTTCCATACATTTATTTCACCACCTAAATAATAAATGTTAATTTGAAACGGAGTTGAATTAGGCGTGCTCGTAAGTTAAATTAACTTTACACCGCCGTACTTTCAAAACAAAATGGTCGATATTTTTATAATTGTTTCATTATTTTGAGTTATATGGACAAGTTGTGGACATTTCCTTAAGTCGCGCGCCACTTTTTGTCTGGAGCGTCGAGGCGAGAAAGGAGAGATCGCACGAGTGGGAATCGATCGAAGGGTGAAAAATTGAATTCTCGAATCGTTCGCAGTAACGATCAATAAAGCGAAATTCGAACGAAAGTTCGACGGGATACCCACAGATTCCCGTAAATACTCCGCGTGAAATTCAAGTCGTAATATCGAGTGCCAAAGTTTCGAGCTACCACGGGTAATTACCGCTAATTAATTGTTCGAGAATCCACCCGTGGTTTATTTACCGCCGTTCTTGTTATTGTTGTTGTTGTTCCTCAATATCACGCGATTACGAATTAATAAAATGTACAATTAATCATGACGGACGTGAGGTAAACTACATTCAAGCGTCAGGCGCGCGCGCGTTTCGACACCACAGCGCGATGTCGAGGAATATTGTTCGCATTTCGCGACGATGAAATTTCCGTTCGCGAT